CACAAAACGGCGGCGCCCCGGTGCCTCCTCCCCACGCCGGGCCCCGGCCCTCTCGGATTTAATGAGGCGATGGAAGTTTTTGGCGGATCTTTCGCTAAATTCTTTTCTTGTTTGACAGCTGCTTGAGTGTTGACCTTATAAAAGATTTAGTGTTTCTCATTATTTTCTGTCAAGCTTTACAAGCCACAGCTTCGCCGGAATCATTTGCATCCCGAGGCTGGCACGCGGGTTTGGTCTGGCCGGGGACGCTCGGCGTACGTCGGTGTGCAAACCCTGCTCCTCTTATTGTGGCTTTTATTCCCTCCTCCCCCCTCAAAAAAAGAAATCTACAAAGATAGCACTGTTTTGTGTTGTTTTGGAGGGGGAAAAAAAATAGGTAGGGACTTAAAAGGCCCAGGATTTGTTAGACTCCTATAAATAAGAGAGGTTTGGAAAAAGGAATAGAGATGGGTTTCCTGTAAAGAGAGCTCAAGAAAGTGTTTTGTCACCTGCTAAAAGGATCCAGTCAAATGGATGATGGCAAAACTAGGCTGAGTCTAGGGGCAGCTTTGTTGTTAAAGTGAAAAATGGTATGAGGCTGGGAAGCTGCCTCTGAGCAGGCAGAGCCAGGCAGGTGCTGGGAGAGGAACCGGTACAGCCACATCTCCCGGTACAGCCACATCTCCCTGCAGCTGAGCATGGATCCTCCCAGGGCAGGAGGAGACCCTGGTACCACTTATCACTTGCTTCAACCCTTCTGATGGGTTCTTTCTCAACACTTCCTGCAAATCATCACAAAACATTTAATCCAGCTATACTAATTTAAACTTCCCCCAGAAGCTAAGCTCACTGACCACCCAAGGGTGCTCACAGTGCCCAGCACACACCCCCCAGCACCCACTTCAACAAGCCCAACTCCAACAGTATCCACAAAACCATTTTCAGTCTCTGGGGTACATGCTCCACTGCTGCCAGGGGTCTCTGCCTTCCCTGGACCAGCTCAGACTTTCTGTATCCCACATGTAATTTATTAGTCCTCCAACATATTTGCTTCTGCTCACAACATGCACGTTGTTGTACTGATAGTTGACAAGTGATCCTTTACAGTTCTCCGATTTAAAAGATTATAACTGAGAAACCCAAATAAAAATAACTCCCAAATACATATTTAGGTTTTAGGAGTGATTAAGTGCCCCTCTAATTCTTTAAAGCAAGCACTGACATTACAACATCCCAGCTGCAAGTGTCCTGCAGGTTTTAATTTGTCAATAACAAATGCAATGAACAGAAAAACATTTCTTCTAATCAGCATCTGGAAACCATTGCAGCTCCATCATCCTGCAAGGAAAACCACCAAGCTTGTGCCTACAGCCTATTCCTGTCCTGCCACAGCCAATGCTCCAAATCCACGATTCAGCCCAAATCCTTTTATAACTAACTGCCTGTAACCACACCAGAGGAGCAGTAAAGATCATCAGCCATCTCTAGAGGAAGTACCTTCGGGTTCATCATTTAAAACAGGAATTAGAAGAATCAGAGCTGAGGATTCATCGCTGGCATTGACTTCTCCACACCAGTCTCTGTCATAAGACCTTTGACCCCAGGACACCCTTATCTTGACTCTAATTACTGGCCCTTCTTATGAGAGGGTTTCTCATTTTTTAAAGTAGCACTTGTTCCCTGTCCTACACCTGGTGCTTCCCACTCACTCATGCTGAGGGCAGAAGCTGGCATCCCTCAACTTTATCAAGGCTCTGCTAATTTTAATTACTGACAGTTGTGCTCAGCATGACACTTCTCACCTGGGGGCTCTGTACCAAGACCACGGTGAATAAACTGCTGCTTCCACCCCTGCAGCTTCAACCCAACCCCTCTGCCCAGTTCCCAGCACTGATGGACGAGAAGCAATGAGGCAGCAGAGGCACATTCCAGACAAGCAGCTCAGCTGTCCTTACCTGCAGCCACTGCATTTTTCTAACGATCCCAGCTCTGAGGGAAACACTCCTGCATCTTTAATAGGAGGCTGGGGTTGGCTCTGCTGGGGATTGTCCCTGCCAGCTCCCAGGGGTTATCCCCCTACTTCAGCAGCCCTTGGTTCTGCCTCCTCCACCTTTCCCTCATGGCAGGGGGTTGTGCCACTGCTGCTACTTTGAGAAAGCAAAAACATCCAAAAACAACTGTCTGAAGTTAGGCACTCAAATGCATATTTAAGTACCTGAACACCTTCCTCCAGAGAGGGGGAGCAGCTAAATATGCTTTGTTTGTCTTGATTAATGAGATCACTGGCAAGCTTTTCAGGGCAAAGACTTGCTGTGTGTTTTTACATATGCAAACCCTGACATGCAGCCAGGCTGAGCAGGGTGGGGGAAGCAGGAGGCAGCTCTGCACATCCTCACCAGGCAGATGTGCATGGCACAAGGAACTGCCAGGGCGGGTAAAGCCCATAGCCCCCATGGGAACCCACTCTGTACATGAAGACACTCTCACATCTCAGTAACTCCACACCTACTGGATAGGTTGGCTGTGTGTAAACCCCACCACCCACCCCAAAGGGCCCAGGACCTTGCTCCCCCAAACAACCTCCCCTTTGTTTATTTGCTGTGGGCGTTGGGTCACTCCCTCCTCACCTCAAAGGTGATTCCTGGAGAGAAGCTACTTGTGCATTTGTTGGGCAGGTCATGCAAGAATCCCTGAGCCCATAAGGGCTTCCCTGGGAGCCCTGAGCCCATCCTGCCCCCTCAGTGAAGCACAAAGATCCTGTGTTGTAGAAAAGAAGTCATATTTATTTTGGAGTCCACCTTAAGGTGTGCCAGCATTTGAAAACATCAGATAACCAACACACCACAATAAGACTACAGGAACTTGTTACTAGAGCAGAATAAGAATCTCCTGAAATCTATCAGCAAACTACTCTTCATTTTAAAGAGGTCAAGGGTTTAACTTCAGCTGAAGCAACATGTCCCAGGCAGGCAAAGCCCCTTGCACTTGTCTTCAGGTTCTCCCCTGTTTGTGTTACAACCTATTTTCTCTGGCTGGCTGCTTGCTGTAACCAATCATCTTTGTGCTTCTTTCATTACAGGTTGGGCCTCATCTCTGTACTTTTCCAGACAGTAATGCTCGTAAGAAGGCATTCAGTGCCTCCCATTGAGAGCTGCCTGTGAGACGTGGTCCCCTTCCCCAGGGCACCCATGCAGTGAGGACCACAGCACTGTGCTGGGCACCACAGTCCTCAGACCCTGTGATGGCCATAGGTGATAGGATTTCTGTCTGGCTTTAAAAAGTTATACTAATGTAGTTATAGCCAAATAAATCATAAATACGAGAAGAATGATTTTGTCTCAGCTTGTTCTTTGCTGCATGTCTGACTCACAACACCTTACTCAGTCTGAACACCACAATTCTCATCGTGCTCGAAGGAAGAGCACCAGGAACAGAGCAGTGATCACACCAGCACAGCCCCACCAGGATATCTCATAATCCATCAGCCCTTCTCATTTTTTTGCCAAACAAGCTTCCCTTCACTGCCTGATTCAGCAAAGCCCTTGCCTGCATGAAGGCATCCAAACACCTGCTTTAAGCACTCTGCCAAACTGAGGCCTCACCACAGAGCAATGCCTTCACTTGAAGATGGCTCCAGCCAGTTCCACACTTACCTTCAAATAGCTGCTAATGCCTGGTGTTCCTCAGGGACGAGCCTCTCCAAGCAACTGCTGAACAAAATCAAACTCTACCAACATCAACTCAACATCACAGCACCCAAGCCCCAGCTTGTTCAGCAATATCTGACAGCAGAGGCTCAGGCCGGTGCCAACACCATTAAAATCCATCTCCTCCCAACAGCACATTCTACCTTCAGAAAATACCACTTAGCAATAACTACAATGACTTCAACCGTGCACCTCCAACACTGCTAGAGCAATAATAATACCTATGTACTCTGATGCTCATATCTACTGTTCCATCTCAGATAATACAGGATAATATTTAAGTCCAATGTTAGTTTTCAGTTTTTATATCCATCACTCTGTTGGCACTTGGAGAGCTCAGGTGTGTTCACTCCAAGATAGCCTGGACACACAGCAGGGCCATACTCTAAGAGGTGGGATCTGTTGTTCTGGGCAGCCCCAACTGTACCCCCAGCTCAGGAAGGGGCTGGTGACAATTACTGCAGAGAGGGTGGATGTGCCAGCATAACCTTACCCTGCATACTTTAGCACTAGTGCTAGCCCAGCCCTCCTGCAGAGAGCCACCAGCAGCCAAGGGACACAAAGGAGCCCTGCTGAGCCCAGGGCTCATACCCCACATATCAAGCCAAACTTTTAAGCCCAAATCTCAAAGAGCAGACTCCTTCATAACATTAAACTGCATTGTTCAAGACACAAGAACAAAGTAAATTGCAAGAGCAGCTTTTCTTACCCTTCCCAGGACAAGGAAGGCTCCACACCAACTGCTCTGGCATTTTCTACACCCCTTCCTTAGGGACAGCTTGTGCTCCACCTGCCCTTTATATAAGGAAGCAGCTGTAGCAAACTCCACCCTGCCCACACCTGAGCCAAGGGAGGAAAGAAATCACCTGCTCCACAGAGGGGAAACCCTGATAAGCAGTTCCTTCTTTTTAGTACAGGCTTTTAAATAAAACTCATCTAAAATAATGAGGAGGATAAGGGTAGGTTTGCCATGCTGGCAGGGGTGAACAGTCACCAGGGACCTTTCCCACCTCCCCAGGGATGGAGGTCCTGCAGCGCTGGAAAAGGGCTGGCAGACAAGTGTTGGGTGAAGCAAGCCCACACAGCCCTGCTGATGAGGACAGGTCCAAGAAGCCGGTAAAGAAACCCAAAAGGCAACAGCTGAAGTGTGTTCAGGAGGAGACACGGCTCAGTGGGGCGTCCAGCC